ATGGTTACTACTGTAAGCTACTAAATGATATACCACATGTTTGGCACATGCTAGTTGCTAATTTAGAGATGAATAGCTATAATTAACTTGATGACCGAATTATAACTATATACTTGAATTGGTAAGCTTCTTATGCAAAATGTTGTCAAGCTAGCTCCACTTATAAAGCCTTGCCTAATTCTTGGAGTCACTTTATTTTTGGTTTACGATGGGTAAGTCTAGCTGAGTACCTTCTCATACTCAGGTTTTTATACCCATTGTTGCAGATGGTACATTTTATCATGGCTATTGCAAAACTGCTTCTGTCCCGCCGTGGACGAGGAGTGAGCCCTGGACAGGCATCTCTTATTAATCCTTCTTATTGCAAAAACTACTCGGGACATTTACACAACCTAACAAGAGCAAGACACAAAAAAAATTACATGCCTTTCATAATACTGGGATCTGCTCCCGACTTATTATTTTACATACATGGGACCTGCTCCTGACTTGATATCCCGAATATCAATAACTACAAAATTTGTATATTTATCTTACAGGGAACCAGATCTAGGTGAGGTACGCGTCTTCGCAAGCTACTTTACTCGGACCACTACTTCGTAGGGTGAGGTATGTGCCTCCACGGACTGCCTCTCATTGATAACTCGCTGCCATGGCTCTCGTTGGCCCTTATCGACGACTCGCCACTGTGGCTCGCGTCGACAACTCACCGCTGCTGACCACCTCGGCTCTCGTCGGTTCTTGTCAACAACTCGCCGCTGCCGCTGCCTCGGTCCTCGTCGTCATTGGCTCTGACAATCGTTGTCAGCATACACGGAGGTTATCACCATTAGTATGCAACGGCCCCGGTCGTTCCTTCTCACTACACGGATGGGTGGCCACGCCACTACCTTACGTCCGCTATAGAGATATGCCGTTGATGGCTCACATCTCTGCGACTAATGTTGCATCTATTTTACAAGGTACACAACCTAGCGTTGTTCACACCTTCGACAAGTAGCCAAGCTGCTACTTTCTAAACTACGAGATAGGCCAGCTATCCACGTTGCTACATATCTCTCTGACTATGATGTCGCCACCCAGCACGCAACCTTGACAAGTTGCATGCGCTAGATACTGGGCTATATTGCCTTTTTGCGAGGTACGCCGACTACTCGCACGGCTATACATCTCTAACTACGATTGAAATCACTTGGTACACAGTCTTACACTGCATACGCCGAGGACTTGGCTATATTGCCCCTTCACGAGATACGTTGACTACTCAGTCGGCTCACGTCTCTGCGGTTGGTGCATGCCGCTAATCGACATTTAGTTAACGCTATCGCATGTCGTCCTGGGTAGGGTGATTCCCGGAAGCAAGGTACCTGATTCATTCGCTACAGGGCGGGATCCTAACAGTGAACAATCGCTACAAAGGCCCCTTGATACAAGTGGTATTACGCACTTAATGCCGACGGAAGGGTCTAACATGATTTCCAACATAATGACTACGTCGACTGCTCTTTACTCGACTAACTTGTCTTATACGGCTTTCTAAGGACTATACAAGGCAAAAACAAGCCCACACCAGAAAGACTACAATCTTATTTAAAGAATAACAGTCTAAAGCAACTTTTTATAAACAAAAGTTACTCAAACAAGCCAACCCCCTAGGGTACTCGGCTTACTAACAGACTAACATACTCTATTGACGATTCCATACAGTCTTACATTGTCTACAGCCTATAAGCTAGTCTACAATAAGTTTAACTGATTAGCAAACGTGGAGGCTATCTCTTCAATGGCGCGGATGCCAACAGAGAAGCAGTCAACAAGTATCTTGATTTACAGTGCTTAATGATACACTCGGACAGACTTGTCCTAAGTCATCCAAGACCTTTCACTCGGAAGCATCTTACCCTGCGAGCCGGCTAAATGAGTTCAAAACTAAAGTCCAGATTTCTAGTCGGCCGTTGCCATGGCAAGTCGACTGTCACACAACGGCGTCCTTCATCAGCTTGCGACAGACAACATGCAATGGGACTTCTTGACTCGGAGTTATTGGAAGTGGCATCCTACACACTAGCTCACCGGAGTTCACTGGAATCAACATCACGAAGCAAGTCGGTGATGACAAGATCGACATCAGTCTCACATGCATCCCGTATCGACGAGTATAAAGTCAGACAAACGACACATGCTAATAATCCGGCGGTAGTGCCTTGCAGCGGCACCCCATAGCAAGTGAGCCCGAGCCGCTGTACAAGTTGCTAAGTCGCAATTTTCAAACAAGCAATACAGCAAGGAAATACTACACATCAGCCGTGCAAAGTCGAGTACAAATCCTGCATGCACGTGTGCATGCCTCTATGCATCAGGCATCCAGGAGTTGGCGTGTAGAAGAAGCAGCCCAGGCATTTATCGTGCCCAGCAGATATTTACTGCTGGCTGGTTTGGTGTGGGAGAAAAATATTATTATGGCTGGAAATTTACGATCGTTTATGACCAAACGAACGTGCCGATGGTGGCTTATCCATGATACGGGCAGCGCCACGTCGACGGCCACTATTCCACTAAGCAGGGCCAACGCCACATCAACCCTGGCAGAGGTGCCTGATCAATAGCACGCTTCGGTAGCATCAAGCGGCTCTTACATGCAAATCCGAGTTCGAGTCCAGTGCTGCTGTCGTGCACCGCGGTACCGGTCTCAAGATGTATGGAGTACACATCAAGCCTTCAAGCTGCTGGTGATCCGAGAACAAGCTATCCGAGCCGGTGGCAAGGCACAGGCAAGCAAGTCGAGCTGTAAATCAGCAAACACAAAGCAAGACGCACAGCCTACAGCAACATGCAAGAAGACGACAAGCTTGAAGCTGTTGGGAGATTTAAATCATACATACGTACACGCTCTCACGACAAGCGTACACGTATATGCTCATCCATCTTCTCGGATACCACGCCACTAAGCTCGAGGGCTCGGCTATTATCACGGCCTACTCAGCTTCACTCGAACTACGCTCGGGGGCTTGATTCAAGTATGGAAGACCAAATTTACAAGCATTCAACCGCTCGACAAGCGATCATTGATCATTGTCTTCGGAGGGATACTCGCCTGCACCCTTGAGGACGTCTACATGATCCTATAATCGACTACCGAGTAGTCGGATTGTAGGCTCAGGGGCAACGGGATATATATCCTCAGAGGATGCATTTAAAATTCTTCGAAAAGAAATTGAAGACAAGACCCTCCAACTCTTTGTTCCAAACAGCAAGAGGCTCGGGGGCTACACTCGGTGAATACACTTTTCCAAAAAGTACACAACACTCGAATATTTCAAGAAGCACTACATGGTTTCTCTCAGAAAGCACTCGGACAAACCTTGTTTCTACTCGGCAAGACCTGGAGTAACAAGAAGGCTTCCAAGATCAACCATACAGTGCTCGGGGGCTTGTGGAACATAGTCCCTAGGTACTCTGTAAGGAAGGAGAAGATCTAGTCCGACTAGGAATTCCTCACATGTAATTCTAGTAACATTGCTACCCTGTAATCCTACTAGGACTCTTACATTATAACCGATTAGAAGACTTGCCTCCTAGTCTATATAAAGGAGGGCAGGGCTCCCTGGATCGGCAAAGGCCATAGCACACAATCATACCAATTAATGCAACGCAAAAGGCTACACGCCGACTGGACGTAAAGGATATTACTTGATTATGAGGGCCCAAACCAGTATAAACCATTTATCTCTTTTGCGTTTACTGTCGAGTTCTGCGTACGCCGAAGCCCTTCGAACATCGTCCCAGGTAACCCCGTGACGAGTTGTCGGTCATCAAACACTAACAATCGGGCATGCAGGGACGGCGACACGAGGCCCAGATCCTTCCCTGGTGGTGGATCCGGCAGCCCGTGCAAGAGATCCATCAGCGACAACGCGTCCAGGTGTGGCCTGGATCTAATCGACGGCGAGGAGCAGCGATCCGCGCGGCTCCACCGACGGCCCCGGCGAGCAGGTGACCGGATCCCGCCAGCAGGTGCCTGGATCCGACGGCGGTTGCGGCGGCGCACCGATCCAGTTGTGGCGGCGCCTGGATGGGCTCGGCGAGCCCTTGGATGGGCTCGGTAGGCCTGTCCATGGATTTTCCTCTTTTTTGTTTTTTTATTTGATTAACCGAGGCGGGCAGACAACTGTCTCGGTAGTTCACGTATTAACCGTGACCTTTTGTTCGAGGCGGTTACGGTTGCTCGCCTCGGTTAATCCAAAACGCCCGCATTGATTAAACTTACTGTAGTAATGTAAATAGCAAACACGAATGGAACAATGACAACGAGTAGTAGGAAGAGGGGAGCACCACCATGTCGTGAGGTTGAGATGGCGCTGTTGCGATGACCAGTGCGGCGAAGTGGAGCTCCCCATGGTCGCACGCACGAGGCTAGGGTTTGGCTACGCGTTCGCTTCTCCCCCTCCCTATTCGCACTTGCCGCCACCGTCATTCGCCATTTCTACTTCCGATAGCGACGGATTCAGTTCCCGACCGCACTACCGAAAGTCCAAAACAAATAGGAAAATGAACTATGATTTGGGATTTAGGTGCGCTATTAGGAGAGGGATTTCGGTGGAGGTGGACCCGTTGTGGAGCGGCGTCACGCGCAGAGGGTGTAGCGTGACTGGTCGCTAAATGGAGATTGCATTTGAGAATCTGGTGTTACTATTCGTTTTTTTTTTTAGGAAAAGGTGTTACTATTGTTTTTTTTAGTGGAAGATGTTACTATTCGTGGGCATGCCAACTGACCTGCAGGCTGCAAATTCATGGCCCAGCTGTGTGGGCCGTGTCGGTGTGCTACGCAAGTTCAGGCCCATCAACCCACCACAAGCAAAAAAGCCTAGCTAGCATTCCGGGACATACTTGGGAGGAACCGGGTCTGAGTTGAGCCCAATTGCCCCGTCCCCAATCGTCTGGCACGTACGGTCTCTCAGGCACATCGGCCTCGCCGCTGCAGAGACGACGGCGGCGGCGAGATGACGGTCTTCCACTTCCTCAACTGCGCCTTCCTCACCTTCGGCCCCCACGTCGTCTACTACTCCGCCACCCCCCTGTACCTGCCTTTCCCTGTTTCGTCTCTCTCCCTCTCGGTCTCCGTGAGATCCGTATGCTAAACTTGCGGGATCTGCGTTTGTTAACTTGATCTGGCCGCTTTGTTGCGTGATCTGCACCGGAGTTTCTGAACGCATGATTGTGGGAGTTCTATTTTTGACCCAGCTTGTGGGATGGGGTTGAACTTGGTTGGCGAACTTACGTTGCATTGTTCGTTGGGATTCAGAGCTTAGTTTGAGTGGATTAAGGTTTTCCATTCGAATCTAGTTAGCTAAGCTGCAATTATTGTGGTGTTGTTTGTTGGGATTCAGAGCTTAGTTTGAGTGGATTAAGGTTTTCCATTTGAATCTAGTTAGCTGAGCTGCAATTATTGGTCTTTTAGGAGCTGTACCTGTCATGTAAGCTCACTTCATTAGTATATCTTTTTGTGGGTTGGGAGAGCAATATGATCGAGTGGAAGGCGCCGGTGAACTACACACTAGCAATATGAAATGATGCTACTGATTGTTGAATCTTGTGAAGAACTTAATGTTACCAGAGGTGGAAGTAAATGCTTACTGGATCCATATTGTCTGTCAAGACTAGAGAGTAACCACATGTTAATTATGAAATTGTCAAGTACATTCTGCAGTGGAAAAGATTACATTGAAAGTCATGTAAATAACAGGCCGACGAATTGAATATTAAATGGTTGCTAGTATAGTATTTTTTCTGTAGGTTTCTGGTTGTGGCGACGTGCCTTTTCAGTCACATAAAGGTCTGAATATCTCATTTCTCATCTAATACAATAGTCACATCCAGTTCAACTAAACCCGTCACCCACTTGAGCATTGGGGGCGGGGCGTCTACGCATAACCCATGGAACATGTAGACTAGTTCATGGATTCTTGGCAATGTATACCTAGCTGACCTAGTTTTATCTGAGCGTACGATGACCTTTACCAACATTTGAGTACGAAGGAAGGAGAGAAGGACATTTATAAGATGGCTAGGGTTCGTGAGAGAAAGACAAGGGACTTCAACCGAGTTAAGTGCATTAAGGATGAAAGGGAGCATCTCTTGGTGAAGGATGATGAGATCCGACATCGATGGCAAGAGTATTTTGATAAATTGTTCAGTGGTGAGAATACGGACACAACCTTTCAGTTGGATGACTCTTTTGATGACACCAATAGGCGCTTTATGCGGAGAATCCAAGAATCTGAGGTCAGAGAGGCGTTGAAAAGGATGAAAGGAGGTAAGGTGATGGGACCGGATGGTATCCTAATCGAGGTGTGGAGATGCCTCGGGGACATAGCTATGGCAATGTATCAAGTGCAAACCAACCTCTCCGTGCAAACCGTGCAAACCAACTGCAGGGGAGAGGTGGGAGGGGGGATTTGCAAAAGTGTAATTAGGAGCGGGCGTAATTACACTTTTACAAATCCCCCCTCCCACCTCTCCCCCGCAGTTGGTTTGCACGGTTTGCACGGAGAGGTTGGTTTGCACTAGATATGTTCCCCATAGCTATAGTATGGCTAACCAAGCTGTTCAACCATATTTTTTAATCGAACAAGATGTCTGACGAGTGGAGGAGAAGTATATTGGTACCGATCTACAAGAATAAAGGGGATATTCAAAGTGGAGGAGAAGTATATTGGTACCGATCTATAAGAGTAAAGGGGATATTCAAAGTTGTACTAATTACCGGGGAATTAAGTTGATGAGCCATACTATGAAGCTATGGGAGAGAGTTATCAAACATCGCTTGAGAGCAATAACGCGGGTCTCTATGAACCAATTTGGTTTCATGCCCGGAAGGTCAACCATGGAAGCCATTTTCTTAATAAGACAAGTTATGGAGCGGTATAGGGAGAAGAAGAAGGATCTACACATGGTTTTTATTGACTTGGAGAAGGCTTATGATAAAATACCAAGGAATGTTATGTGATGGGCTTTGGACAAACATAAAGTCCCAACGAAGTACGTCAGGCTCATTAAGGACATGTATAACAATGTTGTGACTAGTGTTCGAACAAGTGATGGAGACACGGATGACTTCCCGATTAGGATAGGACTACATCAAGGGTCAGCTTTGAGCCCTTATCTGTTTGCTTTAGTGATGGATGAGGTCACAAGGGACATACAAGGGGACATCCCTTGGTGTATGCTTTTCGCGGACGATGCAGTGCTAGTTGATGAAAGTCGGACAGGAGTGAATCGGAAACTGGAGTTATGGCGGGAGATTTTGGAGTCCAAAGGTTTTAGACTCAGTAGAACTAAAACTGAGTATATGAGATGTGACTTCGGCACTACTACTCGAGAGGAGGAAGATATTAGTTTGGAAGGTCTAGTAGTGCCTAGGAATGATACATTTCGATATTTAGGATCAATGCTACAGAGAGACGGTGATATTGATGAAGATGTTAGCCATAGAATCAAAGCAGGGTGGATGAAGTGGCGCCAAACATCTTGTGTCCTATGTGACAAAGGGTACCACATAAGCTAAAAGGCAAGTTTTATAGGACGGAGATTAGACCTGCTATGTTGTATGGCGCAGAATGTTGGCCTACGAAAAGACGACATGTTCAACAGATAAGTGTCGCGGAAATGCGTATGTTGCATTGGATTTGCGGTCATACGCGAAGGGATCGAGTTCGGAACGATGATATGCGTGATAGATTTGGAGTAGCACCAATTGAAGAAAAGCTTGTCCAACACTGGTTGAGATGGTTTGGACATGTCCAACGGAGACCTCCAGAGGCACCGGTGCGTAGTGGTATCCTAAGCCAGGATAGTAACATGAAGAGAGGCAGAGGAAGACCGAAGTTGACTTGGGTAAAGGCAATAAAAGGAGACTTGAAAGGATGGAATATATCCAAAGACTTAGCCTTAGATAGGAGTGCTTGGAAAACAGCTATTCACGTGCCTGAACCTTGATTGCTTGTGCTGGGTTTCAACTCTAGCCTACCCTAACTTGTTTGGGACTTAAAGGCTTTGTTGTTGTTGTTGTTGTTGTTGTATATAAGAAAGCAGTGTTCTGCATCCAAAGGTTCCTTGGACTAAACATTTTTTATCCAATCATCTGTTTCAGGTCAGAGTATGATACAATTGGCACTTCTGTAAAAGCGGCTGCTGTTTATCTTGGAACTGCACTTGTAAAGGTCAGCAACCAGTCCAGGATTCTTACGTATTGCGAAATCTAAAGCAGTAAAGGGATAATCTAGTGCAAAATCATGATTAGGTGCAAGTTTGGAAAACAGATCTTTTTATTTGGGCATCAAATAACATGAAAAATTCCAGAAGGAAAAAGAAAATTAGATGTTGCCTCTGGATTATTGACTTGTTCAATATAGATATAGATAGGTAATAAAACCCAAAACTTTGTATGTACAATAATAATTTGAGGTGGTATGCCTAGTTTTTGAATTTCTTTTGGCGTTATTTGGTACACAACCTTTTTTTGCCTAGCTGTGCTTTGTCGTATTTCCTAGTGAGAACCATATGGTTGTTTAGCCAAATAATCTATCATTAATTGATCTGTTACCCAATCATTTTTTTTTCTTGTTTGATTGTGTTCTCATCGCCTTGTTGTGTCTACCTTTTTTGATTAATACTTGATGCTCTTTCAGTAGTTTGTCCTATTAATAACCTTAATATATTCTGCAACCTGTATACATCCTTTTGATTTTTAATACAAACTTTTGCTTTCTGCGTAACATGACACATAAGGAACAGATTTTTCTTTGATTGTTTTAAAGAAGTTATTCAAAACCTTTCCCTGATTTCAATTTTCTATAGTTTATTTTGCATGGTATAAAGTTTTGTTCTTAACTTTCAGCGGCTGATGTTACTTGTGTAATTCCTTTTCATAGCATTCTATTTTTTTCTATGCTTATTATCATGATAAGTTCAGTGAACCAATGGTAGTTAATTGTCTGCTAATGTTCCTATATCATATTGGCAGCTTGTTTGCTTGGCAACATTGCTCAAAGTACCTGAGAATGATAGCTTTGATCCCTATCAGGTATATTTGCTACACTTTATTGGACACGCAAAAATACACTTTGATTCCAACCTTGTGTCCTCTAATCTATCCTGCTGTTTCCACTTTCAGGAGTTAATGAAAGTTTTTATTGGATTCATAGATGTAGCTGGACTGTATTTTGCTTTGACACAGTTGACCCACAGAAACATCTCTCAGAATCATAAGTTCCAGGCTGTTGGTCTTGGTAAGTACAGAGTTGTCTCTGAAATTTGATTCATGTCAAATTTTCAAACTGCATCCATGGCTATAGTGACATTTATTCTCTCTTCTAATTTTGCATCTTCATCCTGTGTCTTTTTCTATTTGTCCTTGCGTGCTATGTGCTGAAAATATATGCTTAAGCTTACCTGTGCCCATCTTGAGTTGCACTGCACCTAGTTTTCCATGACATGGTTTTGGCTTGGATATATGGAAGCACACTTAGGCCCTGTTTGGATCTCCTAAGAAAAATGAGATGAGGTAGAAAAACGAGATTATGAGAATGAGATCCAAACACTTGGGTTCTAGAATGAGATTCTAGAATCCAACTATCTACCCCAAACTCTATTTAGAGATTTCACTATGCAAAGGCAATAATGACTATGGGAATGGGATGCAAACTCCCCTTTTTTCATCCAGAATCCAGATTCTACATTCACTATCTAGAATCCAGAATCTCGCTCTGAGAATGAGATCCGAATCTGAACAGGCCCTTAGATTTTGGCCCTTTCTCAATGTCTGAAATTTGACAGCATCTCGTTTTGTTAGTTTCTCTGCATAATTTTTTTTTTTAAAATGTGAGATTTTGGCCCTTTCTCAGTGTATGATAACTTTATTGTCACTTATCATCAAAGACCGGTTGTTTTGTGTTTTCAGGTTGGGCTTTTGCTGATTCAGTTCTGCACCGACTGGCACCTCTCTGGATTGGGGCAAGAGGGCTTGAATTTACATGGGAGTACATATTTCAAGGACTTGAAGCGAATGCTAATCTTGTATGCACTCAATACTATGTGAAAATATAGTACCAGATTCCTTGATTTGAACAAAGCAACTTCCTAGTGCTGCAACCCATGATGTTTATTTGACATATTTGTCAACAAGAAGAATGCTTATTTATGTTTTTCTACAGGTGATGACCCTCTCCCTTGCTGCATTAGGATCCTTGATGTGGCTTAGGAAGAACAAGCCTAAGACTTTGATTCCAATAATTTATGCATGTGCTCTGCTCTTGGCAACAATGCCATCTATCACCAGGTACAATGCTCCACTTTGTTTATATGTTCTTATTTCCCCTGTTTTCTGAAACAGAAAGTGCTTTATTACAAGAAATAGTAATTTCTAGATGTGTATGTCATCTTTTTTTGTTGTTCAGCCATGTCTGTAGATTATTCTAGCATGATTTGTATGGACTCGAGACTAAAAGGTTTCATTGTTGCTGGTGTTGTCATTCAGTATGAACTCAGAAGATTATCTGAGTTCTTAACCGTTTCAACACCATGCTTAACACCTGATGGATTATATAGCAAATTTATTTTTTTGTCAACCCTAAACTTTTATATTATAATTTAGAAGTCCTAATTTTCCATCTCCATTGGATGTATCATCGTCATGTGCAAGGTTCCATGAATACCTAGAATTCTTTTCGCTTGCTCCCTGTTAATCAAACTTAGTACACCAAAGGGCGTTTGAGTTTTCTGTTGAACTACGGCATGGATAGTAATTAATCTTATTCTTTGAGGAGTTATGGTGGCTCTTATATTTACCTAAGCTAGGACCAACTTTTGCATATGTTTCATGCTACCCAATTATGGTGGATTATATATCTTATACTCTCCACTGACCGGGAAATACCATTCTTTACCAATCATTGTTTATTGAATTTGCTGTGATTTGAGCGTTCCATGCTTTGTAGTTCTTTAGTATCACTGTCGTATTATTCACTGGGCCAAACATGCTCAAATATGCAGCTACTTGAGGAGGTCATTGGAGTGGCAGACACCAAAGGTGGTTGGCTTCGAGCTCTTCTCCTCGCTTGTTATGGCTTTCATCAGCTGGCAGCTGTTCTCGGCTTGTCAGAGACCGATGTAACAAGACATCCATAGCACTGCCAATTTTACGTGCGATTTGAAGCTCCTGAAGATGCTTCCTGATACGTCAGAAGAATTAGGATGATAATTTGGCCTTTCCACTGCAACTCTTCTTGGCGTTCGGTTATAGAACATTTTACTTAGAATCATCTGTTGTGAGCTGTAGAGCAGAAACCCATGCCTCAAATGAGTTGTTCTGTAACAGATGCTCGTGAAGGCGTTTGATCTGAAACCTTTTTGTTGTTATTATGGTGTGCATTTTGAATGATCAATTTAGTTGCATCATCTAGCGTATAGATCAGATAATTCAGGTATCTCACAGAATTCAAGAATAAAAACTTTGGTTTTTCTCCTGCTACGAAGCTGTATATGATTTGATTTTCAAGACATCATGATGTTTTTGCATTATGGTTTCAGAGTGTCGCAAAACCGAATGAAGTCCTCTTGTTGTGAACACCTGGAGATCAATTGCAGACCTCGACTCCACAAACATGTTTCCACAGTATTCATCAATTGTCATGGATTACATACCAAAGTAAATTGAATCGAAAGCATACATCACGTTTTATATATATCACGGCTTATGAAGCAGAGGGCCAGAGGCGACAGTCGAGTGGCTGTTACTGGGGCAGGCGCGCGCACGCCACCCTACTCGGCCTCCTCGACGGCGGCCTCCACCCGGAGCAGCACGAACCCGACGGCGACGCCGACGAGCACGAGGCCGTTCATGGTGACGGCGATCCTGAAGATCTCCGCGGCGGCGTTCATCTGGGCGCCGAACGCGCCGCCGCGCCGCTTGTTGCCCGCGGCGGGGCTGAGCGACGCGACGATCTTGGCGAAGGAGTAGTCGGCGGTCTTGCGCACCCCGAGCATGTTCACCTTGTTGAGCCCCTTGAGGCCGCTGTAGGCGTTCATGCCCTCCACGTACGTGACGCCGCCGGACCTCTTCTTGGCCGCCGGCGCCGCCAGTGACGGGATCGTTGCCACGGCGAACGACGCCATCCCCTGCGCTGCTGGGTGGAGTAGCTAGAGAGCCTGCTGGCGACGGGCAAGACAGGCAGTGAGAACAGGTGACTGTAATGCAGTGCGGAGAATTGGAACGCGGCATGAACCAAGGACGCTTACCTGTGGCTCGTGAGAAGTGTGGCCGGCGGGGTGGTGATGGACGGGATGGATGGCTTGAGCGGCGGGCGGGCGGGAGGGAGCGCGGTTTTCTACGGGGGATGAGGGGAGGATAAGGCGGGGCGGGGAATGGACGGTCGCCAAGGGGGAGTTTATCCTTGGTGGTGACATGGAGGAGGTCCATTTGGTGAGCGGAGGGACGCTGATTGGCCAGGGATGGTCCACGCAAGTCTATGTTTTCGTCTTCCTTCTCCCGGTGGGCCGGTGGCGTCCGTGGGATGCACACGCACACGCTGCCTGCGGCTGCCGTTCACTAGCAGCTCTCGACAGCACGACCTTTCTATTCTAGGATGAAATTTGTTACGGTCATCAGAACAACCTGTGAGTCTGAGTCTCATCTCTCATTCGAGCGTGTGTGAGCAACCTTTCTCGGTTCAGTAAACACCAGTACGAGACATACGTTTGATATCCATGTACAAACTTGTTACAAAACAAAATGCATAGACGATTTGATGCGAGAGATCTACAGCAACCGCCATATGGGGTCAGGGGTTTCCATCTACGATCTATTACAAGCGGCATCGCCGTGGATGGTTGCCACTGCGGCGTTGGTTCCCTACCGAAAATATGTAACGAGGCCGAATCAATGCATCATTCATCCCTCTCATTTGCCTCGCGTTCATTGTACATCCACACATTAAGCTCCGTCTGCAAGCTCCACAGTCCACACCTCTGTTCGCGTCACCTTTTCCTCCTGTCCAGAAGTTAATGTAGCGGATTTTTACACTTTTTTTTTTTTGTACGTTGCCCTTGGCCGGATTCCATTTCCAGGTCTCGTTCGAGAAGGTGCAGCCAAAATACCCTGCTTCTCTGCCTCTCTATGGGAAATGGTAGGAAGAAGCCTAGCCCAACAAGCGCCAAATCCTGCTAAAACAGCCCACGGAAGTAACTTTTTTTTTTTTGAGCAACCCACGGAACTAATTTTTTTTTAGGGGAACCCACGGAAGACGTGTCAAGAAGCCCTGAAAAGCCCATCTAAAAGTCTGACGAACGCTAAGGCCGCAAGCCCGCAACCCACAGCCGGGTGCCAACAACCGCTCCGAAACCGGCGCGCGAGGCCCAGGGCGGCGTGAGATTGTGCGAATATGCGATGCCTCCGACCGTTGCGTTCACCCGCGCCGCCCACTGTGCCGTGGGGGTCAGGCGCGTCGCTGTGCTCGCGTGTTCCCCGCCTCCTGCCCGTGCCCGGCTTTGGCGGGGGACCAGAACAAATTTGACACCAACCGATCAACCACGGCACGGACCGGGAACAACAGGGATGCTGCTGCTGCCATTGTGGCGTTCTCCTGGTCACGCTCCATGCCGTAAAAAGCTCCTAAAAAATACCATACCAAACTTCTCATTTCTCGATCCACGTTTCGCGTTGCTATCCTCCAGGTAGATGAGGAAAAACGCTCGAGCGATTAACCAGCTGAGGAGACGCGCGAGGCAAGCATGTACGAGCGTTTAGCTATAGGACGTGGCATGTGCATCGCCATGATGAGAATGAGACCAGTCCACCACTCCACCCTCGGCCCTAGGCCACAAACTCACAAAAGATCTCCGGTGTTTTTGCCGGACCCGATCGCTTCCTCGCTCGCCGGCGGGGGGCCGGCGGTTCCTGACAGCGTATTTATGAGCGGCGGCAGCAAGTCGCGGAACGGACGAGCTGGACCCGGCGAGGCGGCGATGGTCTCCCACTAAAATTTGTATCTTTCCATTTGTATGCTCACTGGTACAGTAGAGGAGTACTACCGGTAATCTAATGATCTTCAGCTCGTTTCGGCTGGATTGGTTTATACGCCATGGCTGAAAGTACTGCTATCTGGTTTGATGTGAGAGAAAAATACTGTTCAAGCCATGAATTATAAGCTAGATACGAGCAATTTAGCCGAAACGAACAGGCTGCTTGGTGGCGAGCAAGTTGTTTCAGGCGTGTTTGATAACCTGCATCTGGCCGGCTAGCCTAGCCATGGCCAGCCAGAGTCCGATCCAAATGGTGCAAGTGCTCGTGTTTGAAAACATTGTCCAGTAGAGCCGATTTAGATCGTGTTTGTTTTGCCTGTACAGACGAATGCGGTGACCCTGGACTCAGAACATGGTAACGTTATCCCTCAAACGTTGTCATTGCCATTTTATCGAACACGTGCAGGGCGAGTGGCATGGGGAAGGCGGACTCACCCACCTCGGCCAAAAAGCCCCTGCCGCTGCCCTTCTCCGGCGCCATTGCAGGCCAGGAGGAATAAGATGGGGAGGGAGAGGGAGAGGTGGAGGGAAGCGTAGGAGCCGCGGTGGAGGCCCAAGAAGCTGCACAAGCCGATGGCGAAGGACGCGGGCGCCAGGACGCTGTTCATGCCGTCGCCGGCGGCGGGGCCACCCGTGAGCTCGGCGTTCCTTGTGAGCTCGCCGGCGCTGGTGTTGGGGGCGGGAGCAGCGCGTGACCTGCACAGCCAGGTCGTGGAGCTTCGCGGCACGCGACCGTGACCTCGTGCTCAGCATCGTCGTTGTCGTGCGCGGTGGCAGAGACAACCAGCCCGCGTATGACTCCGCCCACGCCACTCGACGCGACCGAGACAACCTCCGCTCCTTCGGCCTGTACCGCTTCCGCTCCGGCGACCTCGGACCCAACCTCCCCGCCGCCGAGACAGAGGAGACGAACGAGAAGAAGTAGCAGGCGGTGGCGCACTACGGGCGGAGCCGGTCTGAGACGACGCGGCAGCAGGGCAAGAAGAAGCAGGAGGCGAGGATGAGCAAGTCGACCTCGAGCGACGTCGTGGAGGAGGCGGCCGCGGAGACGGAACAGTGTGTGGACGCGCGCGCGGACAGCAACGGAGAAGAAGGGAGCGGTGGTTGAGAGAGGAGTCGGGAGGTGATTCCATCTCCATGCGCGAGCACACAACGCGCTTTAGCGAGCCGGGCTGAGAAGAAACGAAGGTCCATCTCGTTTCCTGAGAGCCATGAGAGAGAGGCGCGATTTGCACGGTTTGGGCCTGGCTCGCTGGCGGGCCTGAGGTAATGAAGTTACACGTCGGTGGCGTAGCCGGGCCGACGGGCCACCCTTCCAAACACGCCCTTCGTTTTCCTGACACGACGTTAGGTTTGTACTACGTGCCTGATTGTGTTTCCGTCCAGGTGCTGCGATCTGGGCCCCGTATGCTTGAGCAATTAGTCGTCCGTCCGATTGTGATTGCAGGATCGATGACAGTCCAAAGGTGTTGTTTTCTTTGCGTCACGTAGGATTTGACTTTTACGGCCAAATGCACCAAAACAAACCACCTGCTCAACAACCCTGTCCATAAGCTTTACAAGGGATCACCCGGAATCACCATATAATACAAAATTTGCCAGCGCCCCAGAAAAAGGTCAGCATATGTTAGGAAGCAGGCAGGCCATTTCAGTCTCACCAGGATCCACTCTTTCAACCAATTGTCACATGATTAACTGGACTACTTTATTGCGCTTAGTTCTACCAGACTACCAGTAAAGCTAAAAGAGGCAAAAGAGAGAGACAAAATAAAAGTATTATCTGGAATGATAGCTAAAAGAGAAACTGTAGCTAGTAGACCATTATTATCAATGTCATCTGAAACCGACCTGATGGGAATTAGCATGTACTTAAGTCGATAAATTCATAACAGCACTACAGCAGACATTAACATCTGGGACACCTGAGGATTCAACAACAAAACGAAAAAAGGATAGAATCACCTATCATCATGCCATTCATGTTGCAAGAATCATACAAGCGAGAAAATCTATTTCATGGCCAATGGAGCCAATTTACAAGCAAGTACATGGACAGGATACTCCTCAAAATAATTAGGTGGTACATATAGATCTCCAACAAAATCTACAAACAAAAAAGTCGCATGCCTAGAAAAGGGAGAAAACAAGAATGAAGAAATATAACAGCCGCACCGCCAAGTATTGCCCCTTGATGCCATGCTGAGACATTTGGATACAAAAAACAATACGCAGAAGCACCTTGACATCTCTTCTTCTATCCTCCTTTCAGTTTCAATTACACTGGTGCCACCCTCCTCTATTATGAAGTAGCTGCGATAGCCATAAACTGGAACCATCTAATACTATCTTTCTGCATCCTCAGGAATAGATGATAGCCTCTCTTGCTCAAGAAATGATGAATCAAGAAACTTTGCAACAAATGCCCACAACCTGTAGACATCCTCAAAATTTGTAAGGAACCCAAGAGAAGCAGTGACAACTTCGGTCCCAATAATAGCATTTTTGCTATTTTTCTTTTCACGACGGCCATTTGCTGCTGGAGAGGAAGAACTTAGCCCCACATCAACAGCACCATGTTTCTGGTTGTCTGTGAGGCGTATATGGCTTAGAAACCCAACCCCCAAGGATAGGCCTTCTTTTTCTGCCAGTTTCTGTACAGTTTCAGAATTGATCAGGGAGGTTCCAGTGTTGCAGTCCTTTATATTGAATGCAACTGCTGCTCCACGATCATATTTGATCTTTGGACCATATATATAAACAAGGGGTACCCCCTCGCCATCCCCTGAATCAGGCAACCGGAGCTGCAGTAATGAGGTCACCAACCAATTGATCAGGTATCGCAATCTAAGTGTTGTCTTGCTAAGTCCAAGCATATTCACATGATCAAGATGTTTGCAGATAATTTCGGGCTCTTTCCTGCCATCCTGAGCCTCGTCATAGTCACTGTATGCATCGTCGTCATCGTCATCTGCCATTGCATACCCAGATGTTTCCCCAGCATCTGAATTACGATAGAGCCTGCTATCATCCATGGTGAATGATACCTTGCACCCCATACTTGACGCTCGTTCCGATTCTTCTACTCCAAAGAATCTTCCACCATTGAATCTGCCGTTGTATGCTTCCCTCCTTCCTAGTAGACGGAAGTCACCTTCATTTTCCCTTCTGATAGCACTCTCTTTGTTTTCCGCTTGACTTTCTGAGCAAATCTCGGATGTGGAGCCATTCTCACGGGCAGTACAGCTCCCGAAAACAGAGGTTGCACTGCCTTCAGCAGGGCCGTTGGCACAAGAAAACTTTACGAACCTCTTATTTACTTTAGCATCTTTATTATCTTCTTCAATCTCACTAATAGGGATATTCTTGAAGTCATTATGTGAATGATCTTCATCTGGAACCACTTTCACAGGCCCTGGTTCTTGTGATACCGACCTCACGGCTGCATCAAATGACATAACATGGATGTCATGAATAGGGCTTCTTGACAGTTTGGATGGCACCTTTGGCGACGCCTTCTTAGCATTCTTCCTACCAGCAAACCAGGACGCTGGCAATGGAGAGCCCAATTTCCCCTTGCTTGATTGCTCTGAATGGTCTGAACCAAGTGGACTCTGTCCCAAATCAACCCAGAAGGAGTTCTCGGATGACTCATCCTCACTGAACACAGGGCTCTTCATCACCTCTCCAACAGAAACACTCTCACTCTCTTCATATATTGTGCTGGCACCATCTCTATCTGAACTGTCCTGGTCCATTTCGCTCTCAATAACCTCCCTCACTTGTGCTGATGAATATGCGCCCGAAAATGCAGGCAATTGGGATGCATGGTGACTGTTGGACGCTGACCCCTCCTCAATTGGAATGATATTATCATCCTCCAGCCCATCCAGGACACCATCAAACCCATCAACTGAATCACTGAGATACTGTGGGAAGACCGGCACAATCCGCACGATCCCTGCCCCCGTGCCGCCGCTCGGGCTCTGCAAGCACGCCATTACCGACTTCTTGATCAGCAAGCATCCAAAACCTGTTGGGTCTGCCCCAAACACTCTGTAAAATGAAGTGATGATGAAGTCTGGCCGGAACAGAGACAGCCCCAGTGAGTCCATGTCCTTAGGCCCCAGAGCGCCAGCATCGAGCAGGACATGCCAGTGATTTTGCTGAGCCAATGCCATCCACTGGTAGGAGTACTTTGCCCCCGTCACCCTCGACTGCACAGGGAACACGAACAGACCAGTGGCGGAGTCCTTGCGCCGCCGCTTCTTGGTGGAGATCAGCTTCCGGAGCTCGGTGGTGCAGATCTTGAGAGTGGGCCACTTAAACCAGGCGGAGTATGCCTTGGCTCCCTTGTCACGCGCGGCCTGCGTCATCCAATTCACGGACTGGGACTCGTGGTCGAACATGGTGAGCAGCCGCTTGTTGGTGCCGAAGGGGTAGCACTCAGCGAGCAGCCGGAAGGCCGAGCCACGGCTGGCCGTGAAGACGAGGCAGTACTCGGACTCGGGGATGTTGAGGTAATCCATGATGCGGTTCTTGATGTCGTGCTCCGCGGTGCCCTTCTCGGCGGCGCCGTAGAGCGCATGGTTGCTGAGGTTGGCGGTGATCTCCGAGAGCGTGAACGCAGCCGACGAGTCGGCAGGGTTGCAGCTTTGGAGGTAGGAGAAGAGGCCAAAGCCGCAGTAGTCGAGGCATACCTTGTCCAGGTGCGGGTACTCGTCGGCGCGGAGGCGGTCCACGTCCGAGGCGGACGCGTAGTTGGGGTACATGGCGAGGAACTTGGCGAGCGCCTCCTCCAGCACCGGGAGCGCGTCCGGCGATTGGAACGCGCGCTCCGCGGCCATCGCCGTCGCGCGCAGGAAGTCCCGCTGCGCGTGGAGCCGCGCCAGCGACCGGGACCGCCCCACGGACCCCTCCTCCGCACCGTCCCCTCTATCGAGGAGCGCCGCGTCGCGGGACTTGGCGAGGGACCCGTCCTCGGACGCCTCCTCGAGCGCCTCCCGCAGCTTGCTCTCCTGCAGCCGCCGCCCGCCGCCGGACCCCGCGCCCGCCCCCGCCGGCGGCGGCCGCGGCGGGCGGTTCTTCTTGTCCAGGAGCAGCGCGGCGCAGTGGGAGAGCGGCTTCCACAGCGACAGAGGCATGGCCGGCCGCCCGCGCGCCCCAGAAATCCGGGACCTTTCCTCCTTCCCCTCTCCCTCCTACACCATCCGATTCCCCGCCGCCGGAGTCCCCCCGCGAATTCTCGGGATCAAATCAGCCTGCGACCGAATTCGACGCGGATCAGGGTTCCTCCTAGGGCTTCGGGGGATCGACGGAGACGGACGATCGGGCTGGGTGCCCTCACCGTTGCGGAATCTGGATCAAGGAACGGAGCAGAGAGCAAGGGAACAGGCGGAGGAGTGAAAGAGGAAGGAAGGGCCGACGGGGAGAGGACAGACGAGGAGGAGACGGAGGAGGAGGAGGAAGCGGAAGGGAGTTATCGGAGCACACCAACTCGCCTGCACGGAATTAAAAGCAGTGGGTCCCATCTAAGCATTTAATGGCGACTCCACATATTTTTGCTGTAGTATTTTGCACATCGGTAGATTACGATCTCATTTATGAAAAAGTTATTGTACAGATATCCCAGATTTGCCTTTCGATGGAAATGAAATATGTACTGAATCCAAGCCATGTTTGAAGATTAAGATTCTGTTTGGCACAACTTATAGTAGTTTTATGAGGTGTTTTATTTGTCAACACTCATTTTCTAAAAACAGCTTCACCCTTTTTCTTCTTCTCTCATAGACACATGAGTGAAAATAAAGCTAAAAAAAATAGCTTATTCCAACTCGATCCTTCATTTCTCCCTCTTATCCATAAAGTTGTTGATGAAGCTATTTTGCTAAATAATTTTTTCAAAACAACTCAGCTTCACCTATAAAGTTGTTCATGAAGCTATTTTTCAAAATAAATAGCTTTACTAGTGAAGCTGAGCTGTGCCAAATAGATCCTAAATGAGGCTGTATGCAGCAACCTACACAGGTGTGGCAGATTTGCAGGGCTGGTGGATGTCGCATCAGGTGTTATATAGAAGTGTTGGGATAGTAATAATAAAATAAATTATAGAAGTCATCAGTTATCCGCGAGACGAATTTATTAAGCCTAATTAATTTATTATTAGCACATATTTACTATAGCACCATGTTGTCAAATCATGAAATAATTAGACTTAAAAAATTCGTCTCGTAAATTAGTCACAAGCAGTTAATTATTTTTTAGTCTATATTTAATACTTTATGGATATATCAAACATCTGATGTGATAGAGTAAATTTTAGAAAAAACTAAAGAGGGCCTCATCATTGATTACTGCTTGCACTACAGTCTGCAGGCACCGTGCTGGTCCCGTTGATCTTTTTAAAAATAAAATAAAATTTGCGTTTCTCGAATTTTATATTTGATTAAATCAATAAAAATACAATATTTATTACACCGAACAAATATCAGCAAATTGATTATAGAATATATTTACAATAAATTATTTTAAGATATACATGTAGATATTATGTTTTTAAAAAAAATTGATTTAATCTAGATTTAAAATTAATTGATTTTAGGATGGAGAGTAACTCTATTTGTATTACATGGCATTTCCTACTATTTTTTTAAGCAGAAAACAGAGGGTCCATTGCATTTGATTTTCCATTTTTCTCACTATAGGTGTTTACTCTTTGGGGTTGAATATTCTGTTACGCTGAAAAGTTTGGTTTTGGTCTCGGGGAGAAGATGAGAGTGGTACTGGGATGGCTCATTTTCATCGACTCTCCTAAAGAAGTAAAGATATTACCATGTTCGTTTATACTGAAATTTAACTTATGTTGATGTTTATATTAAAATATTATGAGAGAGAAACAATGTTTCATGACCTGGATTTCACAGAGCACCCTCCAGAATTATTGGTTTTCCATTCTATGGTCAACTGGCCACGGTTCACAAAAGTCCACCTCAGCAAAAGCTTCTTCAAGAGTGCATCTAAATGGGACCCGATCTGCAGTCTGTTCGTTTGGTTGTGTTTGGCTTATAAGTCATACTTTTTTAGTCAGCGAACAGTATTTTTCTCTCACACCAAATTAGACAATAGTACTTTCAGCCATAGCTTATCAGCTAAACAAGCCCAAATAAATAGGGCGCTTATTAGGTATGGTAATTTAGGAACTCCAAGTCCCAATCCTTCATGTGTTATTTTCAAACCTAATGATACCCAGCCACTGATTTCTTTTCTCCAACGGTACCGTACAGTCTATGGGTGGCCATCTATATTCACAAGTGCCATTTTTTTTTTTGCCACGGTTTCTACCTGCAATTCTCCGATGCAAGAACCAGCCAGCGAACGGAGCCAAAATATTTCCACGCAGTCAGCAAATATTCTTGGGATGCCAACGAAACTCAATAATGCACAGAGGTCGCTAGATTAGTTGGTTTGGTTGTGCGTTTTACACCCCGCCGATCAGAGTTCAAACTCTCTCGGGGACGGATTTGTTGGACGGAGGAGGCGTAGTTTATCTGCGCGTTAAAAAAAAATCCTATCGTCTGTCCCACGCCAAAGCACAGGTCTAAGGCCAGCCTAGTTTCACGAGAGCTGCGGTACCACTGTGTATGGATAGGGCAAAGGTTCGGAGGTTTTCTCGATCTACGTGAGAAGATCTTCTTCTTAAACACAATGTCCGAGGGGTGTCTTACCCCGCGGGTTGAGTTTTTTATAATGCACAGAGGTCATTGCAGAAACCCACAAATAAAACATATGGCCCTGTTCGTAACATATGGCTCTGTTCGCTTGTCTTATGAGTCGTGCTATTTCAACAAATAAACATTATTTTTTTTCACACCAAATTAGTCGATGGTCTTTTTATCAGACCAACAGGGCTGGTCCGAAGGTGAAAGGAACGAGCGGGTTTCCCATCGAAACGACGTTGGTTGATCTCTCGGTTTCAGAACCAAGGATCGCAAGATCCGTTCACAAAGCTCTGCTTCCAGCTTTCATGAGATTTGGAGACACGTTTGCCCAAACGATGAAGCGAGCATGTCTCTGAATCTGAAGTCACGCTATTGACAGTTGGCCGGCGTCCAGGATCGATGCTTTACTGACGGCAAGCATTGTGATTCACGCCAGTGATACAAACAGGTTAGCGGACATGTCCTGTAGCACACGTATACATGGCAGAAAGTATGCAAGCGAGAGCTGAAGCTAGCATAGCATAGCATATCAAATCCCAAGTGGAGTAGCTTCGGGGAGGCGAGAGGAGAGTGTAGACATGTGTTTCTTGCAGTGGCAACAAATAAACAGCTGAAGTCTGAAGAACACCTCCCGAGTTGTTTCTGCTGTAAGGAACATGCATGGCCGTCAGCTTTACGTACAAGCACCCAAACTAAGCTTTTGACGATGCATAGACAGAGGTCTTGTTTAGTTGCTTCGCCTTGTTTAGATTATAAGTTTTTTCACTTTCTCTCTATCATATCAAATCTTTGGACATATATATGGAGTATTAAATGTAGATAAAAAAATAACTAATTACACAGTTTGATTGTAAATTACGAGACGAATCTTTTAAGCCTAGCTAGGTCATGATTGGACAATAATTGTTAAATACAAACGAAAGTGCTACAGTGCCCAATACTGATTTCTAACCATCATCTAAACAAGGCCTTCCTCTAAAATTTACTCTCTATTTTATCGAATGTTTAGACACATGTATGGAATATTAAATATAGACTAAAACATAACTAATTGCACAGTTTTACGACTAATTTGTGAGACGAATCTTTTAAGCCTAATCGGTCCATGATTTGACAATGTTATGCTATCGCAAGGAACCTGACGTCGAGCGAAGTGGAAGCACTGGACGTGTGGTTGTCGGCGGCCAATGCTAGGACTGGTAGAAGACTCTTCTCGGATGACGGAGCAGGGCCGTGCGGCCAGTAGCGGAGACGCCTAGCTCCGTAGGTTACTACGCTGCTCTTAGTTTGGTTGTTTACTTTTATGTAATATCGAAGTTTGAAACAGTCTGCTACGAAGGTCTAGTCACAGCTGTAAGACCTCCTAGGACGCTCATTAGAAGCGTGTCGTGTGTATGGTTAAACTCTTCTTCTTAAATACAATGATACACAAATTTTTTACGTATTCGAGAAAAAAAACAGTAATACATGTGCTAATAACGGATTAATTAGGCTGAATAAATTCGTCTCTCGAATTACTGGCATATTCTGTAATTTGTTTTTTTATTAGTATTCGAACACCTCATACAACACCCCAGGTAACACCCGATGTGACACCATAAAACTTTACACCCTAGATTTAAACAAGTCCATAATACTAGCACTGCCCGTACAATTAAAGTAGTTTGGGCCAAACTTGCCGAATGTCATCTTAGGCCTCGTCTTCTCTAAATTTTACTCATATCCCATTGAATGTTTGAACATGTATATGAAGTATTAAATATAGGCTAAAAAATAACTAACTGCACAGTTTACGACTAATTTACAAGACGAATCTTTTAAACCTAATTAGTTCATGATTTGACAGTGTGGTGCTACCGTATACATGTGCTAATGACGGATTAAATAGGCTTAATAAATTCGTCTCACGGATTACTAACGGATTTTGTAATTTATTTTTTATTAGTATTTAAACACTACATCTGACACCATCGCATAACAGTTTAAAATTTTACACCCAGACCTTAGACATTGGGCCTCGTTTGAGGATTTGACCACAGTTACCTATAAACTTGGTGCCGTAACCGCGTAACCATGAACCGCTATGGAGGGATGAAGCGCCCCTGATTTCGGTCAGAGAAGTCATCACTGTTGTTTCAAATGACACGGAAGATTTTAGATAAAGTAACTGTGATTATTATTGCGGCCTAGTGAACAGGAATTTGCGATTTCCAGGGGTGTTTGGTTCACTCTTCATCTCATAAATCTAGTCTCGTTTAATCATTTTTTACCCAAACACTTTGACTAAATAGGACTAAATAGGCTTTAACCAACTAGTCACTCAAATGTTGCTAAATGGAACTAAACCTCACATTTTAGTCAGGCTACCTGACCTTTTAATCTCTTTTAGTCCACCAAACCAAACAAAGAGTGACTAAAGTTTAGGA